ATTGGACTAGGACAAATGAAATAGATACAGTCTCAAAAATCCTTAAGGCTCAGTTTGGTTGAAATGCAAATTTCATTTGCATTGGCTTAGATGTATGGGAGCGCAAATTAAATAGAGCGAGTGTAATTTAGTTTGCTTTTGTGACAAGTAAAATATGAATTAAAATGTTGTGCAAGAGAATGGAAGTAGGACGATGGTTATTTGTTTGAGAGTGATAATATAGGAAGCATTTTATATGAGAGAGAATTAAGATAGGAGCAAGCGGTGCAAATTTTGCATCAACTTTTGAAATACAAAATTTGCACTGCCATTATATGCAAATGAGACCCCCAAAAAAAAGGACAAATTGTGCATCAGATAAAAATATAAATCATAATTAAAAACAAATGGATGCAAAACTAACCGAGTGTAAAACTTGTATCAGTTCAAATCTACATTTGCAAAGTGCGGGGGTTCATTTAACATAGGATTCCGATCAATTGGCGTTGAATTTGGCAACCTTCCAATTCCAATCATAGTTAGATGGAATACCTGTATTTGTTTAACAGATTGCTTTTTTTAAATATATAACTTATTTAATAGGATTGGGTGGTAAAAGGAGAGTAGGTGCCCTAATAACTATTTCTTAAGGCCAGCTGCCTCTCTGTATTCATTCAATATTTATTATTACAATAACAACTTACAGAAAATATCTTCTATGATTCGAGTTGGTGCTCTGTTGCTATGTTTGTTAGGTAATGTTCTACGTTAGCCTAGATTCCATGCCTCCATTCATTCAGACTTGCGTGTTTGGGTGGGAACACCAAATAGCTAACTCATATGGGGCCCCACCATCTGATTTCTGCATTCTTTTACAGTATTTCCAACTTTGATTGGTTTTCGAAACAAATTTAATGGTACATGCCACATCAGCAAAAAAATGGGATCTTTTTTTGCTGATGTGGCAGTTGATTTTTCTTTTCAAAACAACAACATACATATTGATTGACAAAACACCCCTATAGTGTGTGTTTGTGCAATGAGCATAGCGAGTTTCGGATTTGTGTAACCAATAATAATACCTCATGTCTCATGTTAGTGTATGTACCATGGTTTTCAAACTGCATCAGAAAAACAGGAATCGATCAGGTGATCAGTTTTGGTTTTTCTCAAAACTGGATTTTGATTAAAAAAAAAACATTGATTTTGGTCAGTAAATCGTTGATTCAGGCGGTTAAACCATTCAAACTGTTTATTGTTTTTGACCATTTTTTTATTTTTTTGTCAGAACTCAGAATAGGCTGTTTGTTCGATTCGGTTCTTTTTAGTGTCATATCTATTGTTAAATTATAAATTAATCTTAAATCGTTTATTATCATTTCAATTGATGCCCTTTGAGATTTATTGACCTCTTCAACTTGCAAAAAATCACTTCTAAACGGGTACTCTACCTCCTCCCTCACCAAATTATGTAATAATGGTATATTCGATTTGGTTCAAGTGTTATGGAATAGTCTGATGGTACTTGGCTTCACGTCCAAACCACCATATGGTTTCTCTTTCTTCCTCTTCTCCATGTGCCACCCAACTAGTCTATCTATATATAAAATAGGGAAATAAGAAGAAAGAAAAAAGAGGGTTAGCGTCCCAAGAGTAAGAATCCCACCATAGTAGTCAGACCAAGAAATGCATCTACAATATAACTCGCAGGCACATATTCAATTATAATTCAAACTCGTAGTTTTTTTTGGGTTTTATCCCATATTTCCACAACTAGTGTGGCCTTCGAGCTCGTTTGGGGCTAAGCACAAAGACAAGTTCCCATAAATCTCTTACTCTATGGGGATTAGGGTTTGAAATGTTTGTGGAGATTTGGATTTCTAGGAACCCTAAACCCCACACTCACAGTCATCACTCTGGTTTGCAATTTGTAAATAAAATGTAGGCCCTGCTGCCTCCTGAGTCCTGTTCAATGCATTTCTCAAAGTCTCAGTTTCACAAGAAAGAAGAAATCTAAAGCAATTGAATCTCAAAAAGCTAATAACAAGCCCACGTTCTAAAAGCTATAAAGGCGGGTGAGAGCCTTCAAAAGAGCCAATAATTTTTGAGGGACATCATTCAGAAATTTCTATTGAGGGGAACCAGGGTTTTGTTTTGTCCCATTAAAGTTATCTGAATAAATGGCAAGAGAAGGGGAAGATTGTTCATTGCTGATCCTAAAAGAAAGAAAAGAAGAGAACAGAGAAGAGCAGAAAAGAAAAGAAAGATTGATTGAATGAAAGGAGGGTCATTGAGCATAGAGAGGGAGGCCTTAATTTTTGTTTGGTTTCACTGTTAAAGCTCTCTAATTGTTGGCTCTTCATCATTCATGAGGGGCATACGGACGAATTAATTACCAGGAAAAAGGAAAGAGTTCTATTCCAAGGGGACCATTTTTTTTTTTTTTTTTTTTGGGTTTCAGATGGATCAGGCTTGTCCTGCTTTTTGGCAGAAACTAAACTCAAACGTTTAAGGGCCTGTTTGGGAGGACAAACCTGAACATTCAGTTAAACTACTTAAAGAGGCTGAAGTGGACAGCTCATCAAATCATTGTAAGCCAATTTGGGCTCTCTAAAAGCTGAAGCTGCTACTCTTCATCCCTCCCAAACGTGGCACTTTAAAAGACTTGGGGCTGTTTTGACATTGCTTTCATAAATAAACCTTCTTACACAAACAATACCAAGGTTCAAACAATACCATTTGGTAATGATGGGTCATCAATACACCAAATGTAGGGCGGGGGGTTGACCCATTTCAGTGTGGTTCAAAGCAACAAACTAACAATACACCCCTTCCGCATCCGCACCGTATACTTTGAACCTTTAACAATACTTGATTGGTGAGCAGTGAGCACATCATATCATTGTTTAGTTTTATTCTTTCACCTTTTACCCCCTAACAAGTCTCAGAGTAGGGGGCACCGTCATAACCCACAACTTACCAAGCAGAGGGTCCGATCTGAGATCCGGAAACTCCATATATATGTTTGTTTAGGGGCCTGAATATTCAAATGGATAACATCCTGGGCATGGTTAACTGCAACCAGTTTGGTAATTAGTCTCAAGGTTCAAAATATCGTTATGTATTAGTTTGTATTGACCAATACGGTATTGGAGTCTTTCTGATATAGAGGGTATATTGGGGCTTTCCCAATACGCCCCTATAAAGAGTATCAAGTCAGCTCATAATTTATAGGATAGTCGGACTTAAATTGATTCCTCTAAATCAATTTTAAAATAAATAAATAAAACATAAAAAAAAAACACCGATACAAGCCTGTATCTATATTTAGAATCTTAAACTTGATGAACAAAATCAGGACTAGACTAGTCTTGAATGCAACCCAACTGATCAAGTGATCATAAGGTAGGATTGGGTTGGGTTGCGAAACTTGCGATTACACTTTCACACTCACTCAACTTTCAAGTTTCAAGCATTGTTTTAGGTTGGGTTCGGGTTGACCCAAAACCAAGTTGCATAGTTGCATCCTTGGTTAGGAGTCCAGTTTCCAGTTTCCACCACGTAAGGCTGTCACTCCAAACCAGTTTCTCGATTTGGACATGATCTGATTCGACCCGTTTCATGACGCCACCAAAACAACTCGAGAGAGGTCGAACCGTTTTGTTCAAAGTGGAGCGAGGACCCACCCACCTCGCGTTTCGGTGGTGTAGTTGGTTTCGTCGTGCTGCAAAACTCATACATGCAAGACCGTACGTAGTACTCATCTCACCCGTACATCTGGTCTATCTTTCTTACAGGCATTTAGGAAAACAGGTTCTGCGTTACTGCCTTCCTGCATACGAGTGGAGTGGGTCTCTGCCCTCTGGAAACCTTTTAATCTTTTATAGTTCACGAGACCTAAACCCTGTATCATGCTTTCTCTTCCCCACCCTCTCACTCTCTCAGTCTCAGTCTGAAAAATATTGAGTCATCATCATCATTCATCAACACTCTCTCAGCTCGACACGTACCCCCTGATCCACTGATCCAACATGTCTCAACGAACACTCCCTGTTTAACACCAAAATGTCCCTGATTTCCTGATTCTATGATGTAGTCCCTCACTCCCTCTACCTCGACATCTGGCCCCACCTTGCATCGCTATCTATCATGATCGGACGCTGCTTAGATCTGTTCCTGTACATTATTTGACCTGTGAGCTCTATATACGTGGTACCCCTCCTAAGTTGCTAATTTAAATAAACTTCGCTGCGGACCCCACTCTAACGTACGATAGGTATTCACCCGATTCCGGTTTAGCATTTCCCATAGGGGTAATCTAGTCAATTCACTGAAGACTTTCATTCTGGTTTGCCCGGATTTGGACGCTTTCGATTTTGTACTACTGGACGCGTGGCGGAATCCTACACTCCCAGGACATAACATTCCTGTCGCGAACCCGCAGCTCATGGCCCGTCCGTGCGCCGCGTGCCTCGCTAAACGACACCCACAAACCGCTTTATGGCCAAAATAAATTACCCAAAAGAACCCTTATATGTTAAAATTCAAATCATAAACTCTCTTCTATCCCAGAGGGGTGTTCTCGTCAAAAAAATCATACTGATCTCTTGGCAGTAGACTAGTAACGGAGTCTTTTTTTTCTTGGTAAAGAACTAGTAACTGAGTCCTGTTACCAGGTTTACCCCTGCCACGATCGCGGGACAGTTAACCGGTCCTTGGAAACATAGGGATATTTTGTCCGATATTTCTCACAAAAGCAAGGATATTTTCGGTATATGAGCACATTCACGGGGCCGATGAAGGGAATCCTCGCGTCACAATCGAGACAACGTGTCTTCGTGCTCTCACGGCCAGGAAACCACCGGGCCTATCCTTCGCCACTTAATAAGATTGCAGCTGCCATTTATCCACGCCAACTGAGATTCCACGTGGCATCCAATCCTAGTCAGCAGCCTCGGCCCTGGAGCTCTTCACCTCGGCCCCTTTAAAAGGCACCCCATCCCATCCCTGTCTACCCGTTATTCCTCAGAAAGACCAAGTGCCAAACGACGACGAAGTTCGCATTTTTCTTTAGTTTTGCCCATTCTCTTTTGCTCCTACACCGACGCTGATTACTTTGCCTGAAACCTCCGTTCGTCACCGGAGAAATGAGAACTCCGGCGATTGATCCTTCTATACGTCGCCTGCATGTCCGTATCTCCGTTCCTCGCCGTCATGTCTTTCACGAACCTTGCTTTAATCGTTCCTGTAAACACTAATGAAAAAAGGGGAAAGAAGTGACTTTTTTTAGCAGAGTTTTCAAGTTATTCCATGCTTGTTTTGCAAACTCGAAGCAAGCCTATATAATAATCGGAGAGAAAGGTATCGGTTTTGTTTAGAGCATCGAATTTTGGTAGATTTTGACGATTTTCATTTGACTACGTTGGATTTCTATTTGTCCCCCTTTTCTGTTGTGATCGGATTGCTCTGTAAAGGTTTCTGGTCCGATGAGGTGTTCCGGAGAGGATGATCGGAGAGATGAATGAGGGTTTTGTCGATGTGGTGATGTATCTAATGAGTTAATGGTTTCGCCTTTTCCGTCCTGCTTCAATCCAATTGCTTGTTAGCTGAAAAAGAGGAGGTAGATGTATAGGAATATAATCCCTGATTTCACGTTACTCTGTGCAACCGTGATTATTTTGTTCTTTCACTGAGTAGTTCAGAACGCAGCCCAAAGTCCTAAGCCTTCTGAGATGGAGTTCTAGGATTATGAAACACTTGGACTAACACGATTTCACAGTTACTGAAAATGGAGAGCAGCAGTTGAAGGTAGAAGAGAATAGATTTCTCTGGTTTTAGTCTCGTTAAAGAACATGCCTCCTTTGAAGATCCAACCATTAGATGGCCATTTGCTTGAGGAGTCTATACGGAACGATCCGGTTAAGCCTGTCGTGAAATCGCGTCTCAAGAGGCTCTTCGAGCGGCAGTTCCCGAGTGTTCTGAGGCTTTCATCGACTGAGAAGCCCGTCCTTGGTGAACAGCAGTATAACAAAGATGCTACTAACAACAACAACAACGATTGGGAGCCGAGTTCTGTGTGTTTGGCTAAGATGGTTCAGAACTTCATTGAAGAGAACAATGAAAAACACTCCTCAACTACCAAATGTGGACGAAATCGATGCAATTGCTTCAACGGAAACTGCAAAGATAGCTCCGACGATGAATTCGACTTGTGCAATTGTTTCGGTGAATCGATGTCGGCGGCTTCCTGTGGCGATGCCTGCGAAATTCTCAAGGTAAACTGATTTTCTAGAATCACTTTCAATTCTTTTAATTTGCTTTTATTTTATATCTTCTAATATATTCAGTTACTGAAGACAAGAACTTTAGCATGTCTTATTTTTAAGTGAAAATTTCCCCTTTTCTTGAACAGAGCTTGGTTCCTTGTGCGAGCGTTGCCGAGAGAAACCTCTTAGCGGACACTGCGAAGATCATAGAGAAGAATAAGAGCTGCAAGCTTAAGGATGATTGCAGAAAGATCGTCACTGATGGTCTTATTAGTCTTGGCTACGATGCATCCATCTGCAAATCCCGTTGGGAAAAATCTCCATCTTATCCTGCTGGTACTTTCTTTCTCTTTTCCTACTAAGTTTCTCTTATCCAATTCTTTATTGTCCGAATTCAATCCATATGCGTTAAAGATTGCATTTCTACAGGAGTTCTTAAAGCGGAAAAAACAGAAAAAAAAATATATCTTTGTTCTTCTGCTCTACATTTTCGGTGAAACTTAATTATTATTTTCCCTTTGTGATGCAGGAGAATACGAATACATAGACGTTATTGTGGAAGGTGAACGATTGATAGTCGACGTAGACTTCCGATCGGAATTCGAGATCGCTCGATCGACTGGAACCTACAAAGTGGTCCTCCAAGCATTACCATCCATCTTCGTCGGAAAAGCTGACCGCCTCCAACAGATCGTAGGAATCGTTTCAGACGCAGCAAGACAGAGCCTGAAGAAAAAAGGAATGCACATACCTCCGTGGAGGAAGGCCGAATACATGAATTCGAAATGGCTCTCTCCTTATACTAGAACCACATCGCCATCGGTCAAGCCAGTCGAGACTGAAACCCAGGCCCAGACCGAAACCGAAAGGGAGAACAAGCCATCCTCGCTGAATACAACTACTAACAATTCCGTTTCGAATTCCAATTCCGATTCCTCCGGTGAGTTCGATCTTCTTTTCGGGGAGGAATGTTCGCCGACGGGAACCGAAACCTCCGGCTCATCGGTTTCTCCAGTTGGAATTCCTGATGAAGAGGAAAAGGCTAAGGTCATCATCTCACCCTGGAAGCCACCGGCGATCAAACCAAAGAGTTCTCAGGGAGGAACGAAGGTTGTCACCGGTTTAGCTTCGGTCCTCAAAGAAAAACCATAAAAAAAAAAAAAATTTTGCTTTTTCTTTTTTTAATTTTTTTTTGGTTCCGGAAAATCGAAATTCCCCTTCTTTTTTTGGGCAAGGGTCTGTAAGAAGAAGCAAAGCTATAGTAATCCATATCCATCTATCGATATAATAAAAAAAAGTTACAGTAAATAGCAATATATATAATATATATTTTTCTTTGTTCTCTATTGAATTTCCTCTGTATTTACCTCAAAACGAGTGTTGTCTTGCGAAAATCTTCTGAGAGAGAGGACGACGGACGGAGGTACGCGTTTTCAGTTCTCGTTTCAGGTGTGGGATTTAACGAGCAGTTTGGATTTATCCACTATTTTTTAGTTTTTGCCAAATTTTATTTGTTCTTTTTTTAATTTTTTTATGTTCAAGTGTGTGCAGTGACGGTTCCTCGAAGGGAAACAAAAGGAGAAGTGGGAAGGAAAAGGTTAGTCCCCCATCTCTTTCTTTAAAAATTTCGAAATTTCCTCTTTTTCCAATTAAACTTTGTGGAGAACGAGATTCTGGTGACGGCAGGCTCGTGCCGTCTCGAACGCCGTGTGGCAAAGACGACGACGAACCCACAACATTTGCGTGAATCGTGATCTTCTTCCCTTTCTCCCAACTCCCAACTGACAAGTCGTTCAAAACTTGGTATTCTGGTTTACCGGCCACCGGCATACCCGATGCCTTCGTTAAATTGGGTTTTAAGCAAAGGGAGGAGGAGAAAAAGGACCGAAAGTTGGGTGGTGGAAATGACAAAAAGTCGCAGTAACTCACAAGGGAGAAAACAGAGAGAAGAGAAGCGAAGGCTTCCCGTACAAATTCGTCTCATCTCACGGGATTTTAGAATTAACGATTTACCCTCTAACGTCTCTATATTTGCATTGTCTCGGTAGAAATGAAATGAATAATGATTCCTTTCGGAAACAACGAACGATGACTTGATGATGGGGTTTTCGTTTTTCCCAGTTTGTGAACCGCGATGAGCTTGAATTTAGAGAAACTCTGCTCCACGGTTTTGGAAACAGAGTCCCGTCACTCGCTTGCCCCGTTGCCCCGTATCGGTTTCCGCTAATCTGCACCCTCTCCTCTCTAGGTGTCTTTTAGCCTTCGTCCATATGCAATTCTATAGTTTGCGCCTCAGGCAAACCCGGGCCCACCGACGTATCACTGAAGGAAATCAGAAAAAACAATTAATAATAATAACTGCTTTTTCAATTAAAATTTAATAAGCATAAGCCATAAGATAAAGAACAATCATTACGTCTGAAAGTATTATAATATTATTTGGGGAAAACAACTGGGCATTCGGTCATTCGTTATTACCCTTCTACGTGTTTGTAGCTTATTGGATAAGAAGAAAAAAGGTTGACAAAATGTAAATTGGAGCGGGTGAGTGGTGAACATTGAATCATTACAGCCCTGTTTCTTAACATTTTTTATGAAGGGTCGTGGTGTGGGGTCACTTACTGTACAAGGGAAAATAATAAAAAGCGATTGCCAAAGTTTCATAATAATAAGAGCAGTGCTTTTAGGAAAGCAACCACTCACCTACTACCTTTACCCTCTTTTATTTAATTATTAATTTATTAATTAATCCTTTGTTTGGGCTTGGGTAGGGTAGGATTTCTGCTGATTGCTTGCAAGAGCAGAACAGAACCAATTAGTAGATGGTAGTAGTAGTAGTGGTTCATCAAAGCCAACAAGAAACCCCAAAAATTAAAAAAAAAAAAAAAAGTTTTATTAGCTTCTCTTCATCCAAACCTCAACTCTTTTATTCGCCCAAGCATCTTAAAATATTTAATATTTTCTTTGGTAGGGGAGGAAGGGGGTGGGGTAAGGAGAAGGTGCATGTGAGGTATATCCGATCCGATCCGTTAAGCTATTCAAAAGATTTAAATCCAATAACAATCCACCTAATTTTTAAGAACATGATTTGGATTTGCTTATTAGATAATAAAAAAATTTAATGCTATAACATAAATGATATATTATATTATTTATATAATATAGAATATGTAAATAATATTTCATAATTAATGGATGGCATTGGATTAGGGTAATTTGAATTTGATCCGTTGACTAAATGGATCAAGTTTTCCAATCCGATTCAATTTGTTAGAATCAAATGAGGTATCCAAATCCAGCTCTTATTAGATAGAATCCGGATTAAAATCGAATTTGATCCAACTTACTTGCAGCCCTAAGGATGGGGAGTCAAGATCTCTTCATTCTTCAAAACAAAAATCTATTAAGTAAATCTCTCTACATAAAATTCAAAGGGAAATGTCTTCAATGTGCATTTACATGAGTATATTTTTTTATAACGTTTGCAAAATTTCTGCTTTTAAAAGATTTCGTGTAACATGTGAAGTTGTATATTATGATAAGGAACCTGAATTATGTCAAATTGATATTAAGAGGGGCATAGGGTGAGCATCGAATCATCATCAACATATTATTCAATAAAGCCTTATCTTGAGGGTGACACATGGTCACAGATTAGTGCAGAGTTGATTTCTAGGACTCGCACTCTTTGATTCGCTCTGAGAAAGCATTAAAGTTAAAAAAAAAAAATAATTAAATTAAATTAAATTATATGTTGAGAGAGAGAGATGGTGAGGGGTCACAAAATTCCATGATAGCGACCCCACTTGGAGAGGGCGTTACCACCTACTTACCCCAATGTATGTACCATCATCACTCAACTGACTTACCCTCAGTAAAGACTTAAAGGAGAGCTGAGAGAGAGCATATTACTCAGCGATAAACCCATAAAAGCCTTACTGAATACCGAATCCACACTTCTTTCCTTGAATTGAAGGGGAATTGTCTCAAAAGATTTCCCTCCTTTACTTTATTTTTTTTTTTCTAAATTTTCTCCCTGAATTGAATAACTAAGCTTGCTGCATGCAAATGTTCCATTACAGACCTTCTTTTATCTTCTTCCAATGTCACCTCTGCTGCATCAATTTCATTGCTAAAGTAAAAGAAAAGAGTTATTTTTTTTTTATATTTTCCTTTTTTACCTTTCTGTTAGATTGGATTGGACCACGTCTCACTCTCAACGGCCAGACACTCTGAACCGTCTGATCATAATGATCCTTTTCTTCTCAACTGTTTAGGATCCGTTTGGACCCTACCACATGCTGCCCTTCAAGCGTCTAGACGAACCGCTTTTTTGTTTGTTTCCTAAACGCAGCGGACAATTTACATTCCATCACCCGACAGTCTGGGCCAAAGCCCATATAAGAGTGGGCGGTGGGCCGTAGATTTTTTTGTCTGGACTCTCCCCTTCATGGACCATCAATAGTGGTCAATTTTTCCATTACTTTTTTTTTTTTTTTTTCTTTTGTTCAATTGACTTTTGACTCCCAGCAGCAATTCGTTTACGCTACTACATGGAGATAAGTTAACGCGTAGGAGGCCCTTATCCTATCTCATCCGAAACAAATAATTCTCTTTTTCTCTTTCTTGTACTTGTTAAGGGCCCAGCAGAGGTCTCCACGGGCTGAATTTGTCCCCATTGTCCACTTAACCAACCAATCTCATTGCGACAGATGAACTTGTTAGAGGGCATTTTGGTCAATAAATTGTTACTGGATTTGTCTTCCTTTTCCCTATCCAAATGCCCCTTGTATGGTCCCTGTCTCAGACAGAGCTCTGATTAACACACCCATTTGAATTATTCTAAGGAAGCTTCAGTGGAGGTTCTTACTTCTAGATAGAGAGAGAGAGAGAGAGAGAGAGAGAGAGAGAGATGGGTTTGGGTCTGTTGGGCCGAGGAAGTACTTATTTCTTAATGACCGTAAATAAAAGGCGATTTAAGGGGAGCTTTGTGTGTGTGTGTGTGTTTGGAATGGTGGCACGTTTAAATTGTGTAATCTTTGCGAGCTTATGGATGAAGTAAAAGGATTAAGTAGAAATAAGAAAAGGGGTTTTGTGATTCTCAATGAAATCCACCTCTTTTAGGGTCGTACAAGTCATGTGCCCCCCATTTATTCTTTATGGGCTTTTATACACAACTCCCATTAAGTAAAAATTAGTGGGCCGGATCTTGTCTATGTTATTCTTAGCACAGCCTTATTTTAATAACATGCCTTCAAGGTTAAAGGTTCTATACTCCATTTCGAACTTTGCCCAAGAAAAAACAAAGAGGGAAGAGGGAGCACTTCTTACATCTCTCTCATATAAATCTCAAAACTTTACACACTTTCCCACACAAGTTTATATATTTTACTCCCTAAACTCAGATTATTCCTTAAACGCTTTCTTCTTTTTACATTTTGTTTTGATTCTCAGTGGGTAAGATAAGTCAGTTTGACCTGGTACAGGTACAGGATTCCAAATAAACTATGAATTTTAGTCTTTTTTTAATCAAGGTCTCTTGGTAGCCCTAAATGTGATAAGTTGGTTGATTAATCTGCCATTTATTATTGATTTGTTTTTTTTTATTGTTGCTTGTAAACTGCAAACCACCTGTTCTCAATCCAGGGATACCATTTGTTCCTCTTCATTTTATTCTCCTTCTCTCTTCTTTTCAGCCATTATTCAATTTCATTTGAACCAGTAGCCCAAGAAGAAGTTATTTTCTTTACATTGTAAATTCAGATTATCCCTGCAAGACTACCTTTGTTCTCCTTCTGGCATTGCAGTTTGCTAACCAAGATTAGGCCTTAGGATTGGATAACATAGATTGTGTTTGGTGCCAAAGGGCTGTGTTCTACCTGAAATGTTTTCGATTGATGGATACAAATTGGTGAAAAATATGTGTTGTTGCATCACATTAGAGTCACTTTAGATGAAAAATGCATTTGTGCGACTGATCGTTGACATTTATAATTGAAACAAGTAGCAAATTGAATTTATCAACCCAAAACGTTTTAGATAGAAACAGCAATTGTACTAAATCTTAGTCAAAGCCTTGTCTATGGGCCCAAGAAAACTAAACTTTTGGATCAGTTTATGGAGAGTCATGGTGACTTGGCAGCATAGATTGGGATAAGCTTTACCAAACTTGTAAGGTGCCCACTCTTAATCCAAGGGCACCCATCTGTCCCCCCCTCATCTCTTCTTCTCCCTCAAATATTTTCTCTCACCACCCATTGCTCCCTTTGTTTCAACATAATGGGTAGATTTTTTTTTTCAGGCTGGAACATCTGAGCTATACTTTTGTCCCTTTATGACAAAAACTTTCTCTTGTCAATTATATTAAAACAAAGTACAAGGGTAGAAATAAAGTTTTAGCTGTAAAAAGGGCAAAATTAATTGCTCAAATATTTCAATCAAAATAATTTACTGTCATTTAATGGGAAATCAAACAAAGCCTTACTT